AAACACCGATCTGGATAAGGATCCTTTACCCTATTCTCTGTTACGATAAATTGAGGCTTAATAATCAATAATCTCATATTTTGTAAAAATTAAAAAAATTCTAACAATAATTATAGGTCACTAATGGAGTCGGAACTGGTCAGTGTACGATTGCCCTGATTTACTATTCATTTTCTCATATGTTGCTTAAGATGTTTACTATTGTATTGTGTGCATTATATTACTAGTTTAAATTGTATTCTCAGTTATTTGGTTTACTTGGGTTCTCCTATACTAATTATTTGATTATCTGGTTACTTGATTATTCGATTAAGTAAATTGTACGTTTGCTTAAAATGTCGTTTAAATTAATATATGAATATGTAATATGCAATTGGTAGTTGTTTGAACGATGAGAATCTATGTATATAAAAGCTTACTGGGTGCCCTGAAAAATGGTGGACAGACTCGGTACATAAAAAATCCTACTGTGGACATTACCTCAGTCGGACAAAGTTGAGAAGTTCTTTACCAGAATGGTTTGAGAAATATGGATCACCTTACACCGGACGAGATATCGAGAGGATGACATGTTAGCGCCCATTATCGGACAAGGTATGGGGACGTTCAGATTAATTGTCAAATCGAGATACTGGGTTCAGAGTAGTGAGATATCCATATGGACCTCCAAGGTCCTAGTAAGTAGGTTAAAAATAAAGAATTATTGATCTTATACATGAAATTAAAATATCATTTGATTATTTGTCTTTATAGGTTGACTTTGAAAATATCTGTAACGGTAAGTATGAAATAAAATGTTTTAAGGTTAAATATATTTACTTGAAAGGGCTCTATTAGTTATTTTGTAATTTTTACCAACATTCGATTTTTCGTATCAATGATTAGTGTAATATTCTTACTCGGTTAGTGTAGTTCACATTTTTATTAACCATTTTAGATCAAGAAGACCAAAATTCAGATCCCGATCAGTAAGAGGGTTGTGAGTAGATCACCTCCCGAACTCCATTTCAAGTATTAGTGGAGGTTAACCCCTTAGAATATGTTTTTATTTATTTTTATTATTGTTTGGCTTTCTTTATAAATCAATATATAAGATACATTCCCGTAACTCTATTGAACATTCTAATTTATTGTATAATGAATATAAAATTTAATTATTATTTACTTCCACTATTTTAATAGATATTCCTTCTATTAAGTTTTTATTTTCCAGTGTTAATATTTTGTGAGATTTTGAGTTAATATAAAATGCGACTCAAATAAAAAAATTACATGGACAAAATCATTTTAGGATTATTTATCTTTATTGTAAAATTAGGAAACTCTTCACTTGAGGCTTAAGGAGATTTTTTCTCTGGAAAATCCTTTAAAAATCTCTTAAAAATAATATTGGTCTTAAAAAAATAAAAACTTTCATAAATTTAAGAAATAAAAACTTAAAGATATCTCTATGTATAACAAAAATTATATTAATTATCAAACATATAAAAAATATTCAAAAGCAAAAAAACACAAATTTTTCATTAACTTGAAGAAAATTATCGAATACTTTTAAACTTTTAGGAATTTCATTTATAAAGAAATACAATTAAATATATATATATATATATATAGATAAATAACCCATAGTTTTTAATTAAATATTAATGTTCTTGTACACAATTTTCATTTTGTTTTAAAAATTAATGCATAACGGTGAAGAACTATTTCAAAATTTCAACATCATATCATCCTTAAACCAAAAAGACAAGGAACGAGAGTGTAAGGGCAGAGCCTCCCAACAGCAGCTTTAGAGGAACCAGGTAATCGCGGGATGGCTTCCACTATATACATATACATATATATATGTGTGTGTGTGTGTGTTTCTCTCTCTAGATAGATCTACCTGTCTCGATTTCACCGTATTCTACTTTTTGCCACTATCAGAGGAATATCGGAGAGAATTCGAAGTCTAATTGTTTTTACACTTTTAGGGTTAGGCTGTTGAAGAACCAGAATTTTGTTTCCTCGCGATGAATTGAAATGCTGAGACGATCTGTGAATTGCATTGTAAATTGGTCGAAGATAAACGATTCCTTTTTCTTTTTATTTCATATGTTGCGTTTGGTTTTAGTTGCATTGTGTCAGCGCTGAGTGTGAATACTTACGTTTAAGTGAGATACGGAAATTTGGCACAATTAATTAATTGTTATTGATGAGAGAGCATTTCAGAGTCCTCATGGTTCAGAATTTAGATTCGGTAGGCTATGCTTGTGTAGGTGGTTAAGCACCATGGGGGTTTTACTGACAAAGAAGAGTGGTTTTTGCTTATGAAGTAGTCGAGAAGCACTGCTGCTATTTGAGTGTCTTCGTTTTGAATTTTCTGGTAACAACCGAACTGCTTGGTTGCTTTTTAGTTGGATGTTCTCACTGATGTTGATTATTTTACTTTCCTTTGCTTTTTCTCTGTTAGTTAATTAGGTTGGTTGTAAGTATAATATTTCCTTTCTGTTACCTTATAACAAATGTAGTAACCGTTTAATTTATACTTGAATTGTTTCATGTAGGTGCAAGTGAGTTGATGATATATATTTTATATACCAACATATGTGAACAGTTTAACACCTTTTACATATTGGGTTAGCTGGAAGAGTAACATGGACAATATTCACGGGAGCAATGCCCAAATGCATATGAGTGATGCTCAACATCCCATGCATGTCCACTACAAACATCACAGTCTGCAACATGTGAGCAATGGGGATGTGATGGGAAATGAGCTTGATGATGGTAATGGTGGTGGTGGAGGAGTGAGTGAGGGAATGGAGGGGGACATGGGATCTCATCCTGGCAATCTCTCTGATAACCATAGTGAAATTGTTGTCCACGGCAATGAAAATGGGGACCAGTTGACGTTGTCTTTCCAGGGTCAGGTTTATGTGTTTGATTCTGTCTCACCAGAAAAGGTGATTCTTTAGTTGTTTCTTAGTTAGCACCTTAAATAATGTTCCTTTATTATGTGCTTGAAGCTTTAAATTTTAATTTATATTCGAATGTGTTAATGATATTTATCTATTATAAATCCTTTTGGATTCTTTGAGTTGTTATCAAGGTTTGCATAAACCTAAGTAGTTGGGTACTATCAATTTTTTGTGTGTATGACTTAATAATTTCTGATTGCAATATGAACATCATGTTGTAAGTGTCATGCAAGTGAAGAAAAATTATGGCTCCATTTGATAGATGAAAGTGTATCCTAGTTTTAATATTCTAAATTTATATATAATTCACTAACAAAACTATACAAGTTAGTTAACAATAAAGAGAACAATAACAAAAATGATGATAGGGTTAAAAAATCTTAAAATTTTATTTTTAGTGCTTTCTAGAAAATGGTTTGTCTGTGCTTTGTTTTTTTTTTTTTTGAAAGTGTGCAACTCTTATATAGATTTATGAATAAACACATATGAATTTAGAAATGAAAACTAAAAATGACTTTCATGTACCAAGCAGAGCCTTTGACTCTATTTGGTTGAAAGAAATGGGTGAAATGAATAGGAGAAGGTCATGCAGTTTTCTTCTTGGTGAAGAAAATTGGAGGAATTAACATTAACAAGTAATGCAAGATCTGTACACCTCCCGTATTTGATTTAGCCTTTTCATCCATGAATAAGAGTTAAAGATTGCTAGATATCATGCTCTTGGACCCTCAATTCCATTTTCCTTCTTGTAAATTATAGGGCAGTAGAATTACTTCCCATATTTCTTTCTCATCATTTTCTCATCCTACTGCACTATCTTGGAAGAAAAACATTGAGCCACTTTATAAACATTATCATGCATTATTATTCTGGTGGGTAGAATATAATATTCTTCTGCAAGAGATGTGTTCTCTCTGTTTGTGCGCAGGAACACTTTTTCTTGCAAGTATCATATATGTCATGGTATTTGTTTCTTATTTCTTATTTCTTATTTCTTATTTATTTGCCCCCCCCTTTCTATAAAGAATTATTTTTTTTTTGTAGAATCCAATAGAAATGATTCATTAAAGTTTTTACTAATATTGGGAAACTTGATAGCTACAATATAGTCACTATGCTTTTGTCGCTTGTTATGAAGTTTTTACTATAATAGCAACCAATAAATGCAAAACGTGAAACATGTTTTACATTTCCGCTTTTTTTGTATATGGTGGCATTTCTCTTTTTGTGCCATCTTAGATACTTTCTGTTATCCTTTTTGAACATCTTCTGCAGGTACAAGCTGTGCTTTTGTTGTTGGGGGGCCGTGAAGTTCCACAGACCTTATCTGCTATCCCAGTGAACTCTCATCATAACAATAGGGTATTGGTCATTATTGAATAACAAATTGATTGACAAAGTTCTTTTTTCTCTTCTTGCATTTTACTGACTTACCACTGAACTAGGCTTTATCTGCTACTCCACAACGGTTTAGTGTTCCCCAGCGGTTGGCCTCATTGATCAGATTCCGTGAGAAGCGAAAAGAAAGAAATTTTGATAAGAAAATTCGTTATACAATCCGTAAGGAGGTAGCACTTAGGTATGTCACCTATTTTGTTTTACCTTGATCTAACATTTTATTTTGTCTAAGGGGATTATCCATGGGTTGATATATATACTACAGGAGTATGTACTTAGTTTTGGAAGTTTCAACTATCCCAATGTAGTTTATATTCTAGGATTGATAAAGAGTTTTCTTTGTTGTGATGCAAGTGCAATGATTTGATTGGTTAAAAGATTGACATTTATTAAAGATATGTCATTTGCATACTAGGCATGACTTTAAGGAATTAATTTTTTTTCTTATATATATGCTATCTTATCTATTTCCTTATGTGTTTGTACTCATTCCCGCTTTAGACTTTCAATTTTGTTATTATTATTATTATTGTCATCATCATCATCATCATCATCATCATTACTATTATTATTATTATTGGTATTATTAAAAACTTCTTGTTGCTGATATGATGTTCTGAATTTTCTTTTTCACTTCCCTCGTGACTAATTTTTCTGTTGCTTTTGCAGGATGCAACGAAACAAAGGTCAATTTACATCTTCAAAGTCTAACAACGATGATTCTGCATCAGGGGCATCTGGCTGGGCCTCGGACCAGGGCTGGAGTGTGGATGGCACTGGCTCTCAGAGTCAAGAGATTGTGTAAGTTGATATATGATGTTTACTAATTACTGTTGATTACCTGTACTGGAAAATTTGGAAGGTGTTTTCTCCTCTGCTGGGAAATTGAAATCTTCCCAGAGTAAAATGGCTCCGTATTGGCTTTGAAATGGAACTGGGAATGACTAGGTTAGTAGCTCACATGAGCTATTGCAGCTTCTGTCAAAGAGCTGTGGAAACCTAGATTTGGTTTTTCTACCTAATTTTGACCATGGAGCTATGGAAACTAGACTAGTAGCTCAGAGCTACTGCAGGTTCTCCTCTATTGTCGAAGTGCAATTTGGGTGGTCAGTGCCTTGACCAAGGATGAACTGGGGCTCAGAATGGTCTTTCTTCCTCCTAGTGTTGGGAAAGTTTTTGGCACTTCTTTCCATATCTATCTGTTGGGTCAATTGGATTGCACTCGCTTGGTGCCCTTTAATCTTTTTCTGCTTTTCCTCAAAAAAAGTGAATATTTGGTAGCGTAAGTGGTGGAGGAGAACAGAGAAGAAAACTGCATGTAAAGTACAGGCAAATTTTGCAGATTAACAGTCGTCAACTTTGTTCTATCTCCAGCTCTCCCTTTCACGTACAACTCACAATTTAGGACGGCTTTGAAAAGGGTGAACTGTGTAGTACCTCATGGAATGTTTTTTTTTCCACATGCACTTTACGTCTTAATAGATATGTTTTGCCTTGTATAGAATAATAGGTTTTGTGCAGTTATCATGTTTGTAATTTATTTTTTATGTTTCTTTGTCATGTCAGTTGTCGACATTGTGGCATTAGTGAGAAGTCTACACCAATGATGCGACGTGGGCCTGAAGGGCCAAGGACACTTTGCAATGCTTGTGGGCTTATGTGGGCAAACAAGGTGAACACTACGGGCTCATTTATTTACTCTAGCTTGTAACATGTACTTATTTAGTTATTTGTTATATTAGTTATATTCCGATTGGGATATTACGCAGGATGCCATTTCGTATAGTCTTGTGAGTTTCTTTAAAACACGATGCCAACCAACCACTATAATTGTAAATAATCACTGAACCGCACTTTCTTTGTTTCTATACTATTATAAGAAGTATACTATTAAAAAATATAGAAGTGTTAAGAATGGTTTGATGTGCATTCTATTAAATATTATGGTCCTATACATATAAGTTTTCTAGGATGACAAAGGGAAATAGACAATTGACTATGATGGGTGTAATTTACTGTTACACTCTTTAACCTGATTTACTTACTCTTTAACACTCTAATTTACTTCCTTTTTAACTATTACACCTTTTATCTTCATTTATTTCCTCTTTAATACTTTGATTTACTTTCTCTTTTAACAATAAGTAATATTAGTTAAACTTTAAAACATAGATTGATTTATATGGCCTCTTCATTAATAAAAATGTGTCTATTGGTACTGTCCCCTGCCAGACACTGATCTGCACTTTTTTTCTTTTGTGTCTCTCTTTTGTAGAATACGTAGCCTTGTACATGGGTGGGTATCACCTGGGTGCCATTTTTTCTCTCAAAACAAAAAAAAAACCATTAGTGTGGAGATTCTCACATTAGATGATATGTAAATGGTTGTGGTTGTTCCTCTTTGTTGCATATTCCGTGGGCAAATTTTGGGTCAATAGATGGATATCAATAAAATTTGTGTCTGTGCTCATTTGGATGCATTTTAATTTTTTGCTAGTCATTTTTTTAGGAAAAGTAATTTTTTGGTGGTCACGGTCTTAATAACATGACTATTCTACTTTGTCCCGCAGAATGTATATTTTGTTTCGAGAAACATGTCTCCCAAATGTCATTAATACTCAGCTTAAAAAAAATATCATTCGCTAGTGACATCAACTTATGATGTGTATCCCAACCAATGGACTTGACGGTTGGACATCTCTCAAAACCAACATGTAACAGTATTTCACAACTGCGGTTTAATTCCTGGATAGGTGATTAATATGGAAGATATTTTAGAAATAGAAAGTGATTTATAATTAATTGAAAATTCTCAGTTCTAACTTTGGTGGTATAATTTTCTCGTGACATTTCCTCAAATTGGGTTTAGGTATGGGTTAGAACTTGGAGGTGGACAGCAGGTGAAAGCTTTAATTCCCGTCTATTTTCTTTTTAAACTGGAGAGTGAGAAATTCTATAGGTTTGGGACTACTGGGTTCAAACTCTTAACCTTTGCCTGAATGTTTGTACTTGAATATGAAAGAGAATTTGTAGACCTAGTATGTCTTTTGGCTTGTTCCTAACTGTACAAGACACTTATGTGAATTAGAGGTTATTAGTGTTACCCCTTGCTACCTCTTCATAACAGAGCTTTCTGGTGAGGTTGCCTACCAAAAACTGATGTGAAGTTTGGGCCCTGCGTTCTCAAAGATCTTCTGCGTACAATGGATTTTTACATGGATCTCCATGTGTGGTGAGGGAAGCACAGAGATAAAAATAGTAGAGGATACAATCTTTAGAGAATGATTATTGGGTTATGGAATAAAATAATTTAGTGCTTCTATAGGAGTTTGAAGATAAAAAATTGTAAATTTTAAGAGACTAAATATTTATAAGCATGGTTAGACATTTGATACACTTGGTATGATGAAAATCATTATACTTTCTTGAGAAAGTGCAGGTCATACCTGCTAAGGATCTTATCTGCTTTTCATCTCATGAAAACTACATTGAATTCTCGATCTCGGATATCTCCTGTACAAAGACCAACTTGCTCTTAAGACTCACCTCTTACATATTACTACTGTGGTAAATTTTGAATATATTTTGTCATTAAATAGCATGAAAATCAAATCACGTGGTAAGCTTCTGTTAATCACCAGCAGCATTCATGTCTGGGGATGTAACGCTGCTAACAAAAATTGCCAGGTTTCTCGAGGTGCTGCTTTCACCTGAAAGTCGTCAAGTTTTTTATTTTGATAAGAAAAGGAAAGGGTATTATTAAGAGAGAATGTAATATAAGAGGAGGCGGATTAGGTTTCCTCCCAAAGGAAAAAGAAAATAAGACCAAAAAAAGGAGAAAGAAAGACTAACTAATTTTGGGAAAGAATTGCTAACCAATTTCTCTAAAATCATTGACAAAGCTATGCATTAAAGTGCCTATGAACCTTAGTCCAAAAGGGCTATCAAGAAAGAATCCCATAGAATGAAAAAGTGAAATGTGATCCCTGAAAATTCTAGCATTTCTCACCAACCATATCACCAACGATCTAGTGAAAAAATCCCATGCCAGAGAGCTTTAATCGCCTTCATACTTGCACCTATGACAAGGAAGAAAGAAAATTATCAATTATATCCGGAGAAACCCAAGAAACACCAAAGATATAACAATCCGATACCAAATCTCCAAGCTATTTCACAGTGAGATGATTGCTAGTTCTTCTTCCATTAATTTTCCAACGACTTTCCGTGCTCTGCATTACCTTCCAGGCGCTTACCAACAATAGCAGGTACTCCTGACTTGTCTACGTGGAGGACTCTGGACAAGCAGTAGTTTCACTTCCTGTATCTTTTTGTTGCTAAATAATTATTAAGACTCACCTTGTAACATTTAAGACACCCATAAAAGCACCAGCTCACTTTTACCCCTCACCTTGTACATATTTACTACTGTGGTAAAATTTGGATCTGTAATAAGTTATTAAATAGTATGAAATCAATTCACATGTTGAGTTTCTGTAAATAACTATCAGCTTTCTTGTGCTGGTGATGTAATGCTGACAACAACCTTTGCATTTCTCCAGGTGCAGCTCCCACCCAAAAGTCAGTTTTTTCTGCTTCTAATACATTTCCAATGGCTTCCCTGCTCAGCAGAGATAATTTTTGTTTGGATTGGTAATTGTCTATGGTCAAAGGAACTTAAAGGACATTTTGAAAAAAAAATGGCAACAGTGTTTGTCAAGACATCTAAAGTGCTAAAAGCTACAAACTTTTTAACTCAAAATGAAAAGCTCTAAACACTAGTTTTTTTAGAGCTTTACTTAGAGAGCATTTACCAATTTTGACCATTATTGAGGTTGAGAAAAATTGCTCTTGCAATCTTGAGGTATTTGAGTTAAAATGACCAATTCATCGGATTACCCACATTCAAGCTTCTCATGGACTTCCTAGGGAGTTTTTATAGTAAAAAATCAGTATGCTCTTTTTTCTTTTTGGGGAAGGTAGAGGTAAAGGCTAGATGCTATTGGTCAGAGTTCAAACCTCACTCTGGAGAGACAAGGTACCACTTTGGCTGTTGCCCGGTGTTTGGATGAACTATGTTGCAGTTTTTTTAATAAAACGGAAAAGTATAGGAATATTTTATGATGATTTCAATCCAATAGGTTAGAGATATATATACATGTAGAAGCGTTTATGTAAAGTAACTAACATAAATTAGCCTATTAATTGACTATCTATAATTATGCTAATATATATGGAAAGTTAACTACCAACAATTACAAGAAAAAATAATGTAATCTTGTAACACTCATCGAGTTCGAGCATAAATATTAATCATACCCAACTCGTTACAAAATATTTAGTTTGAGTTTCATTTAAAGCCTTTGTGAATATATCACTTAGTTGTTCTCATGTTTTCACGTAATTAGTAGAAATCAAGTTTTCTTGAATTTTCTCATGGATAAAGTGACAATCAATATCGATGTGTTTGGTTCTTTCATAGTACATTAGATTTGAGGTAATATGAAGGGCAGCTTGATTATCACATCAGAGTTTTGTTGGTGATAAGGGATTCAAACCCACCTCGACTAGAAAGAGATGTATCCATAAGATGTTACATGTGGATTGGATCATAGCTTTATACTCTGACTTTGCATTGGACCAAGACACAACAGTCTACTTTTATTTTTCCATGATATTAGGTTCCTAGCAATAAATACGTAATAGCTTGTAGTGGATCTTGTATCAATTTTAGATTTAGCCTAATTAACATTTGTGAAATATTGAATGTGTGCGTGTTCATGATTTCTAAACAATATGACAAGTTTTGAAACTCCTTTTAGGTAGCATAGAATCTGTTTCAAAGTTTTCCAATGTTTGAGTGCAGGTGCATATATAAATTGAGTAGCAACACTGATAGCATATGCAACATCTGAGTGAGTCACTGTGAGGTAGTTCAATCTTCCAACTAATTGGCTGTACTTTTCTGGACCATTAAGGGAATCACCATCATCTTTTGTAAAATGTACATGTGGTACCATTGGTGTGCTACATGGCTTAACTTCCAACTTTTCGGTTTTAGCAAATAGATCAAGTTCATACTTCTTCTAAGATAAGAGGATCCCTTTCGTGCTTCTTGTTATTTCTACTATCAAGAAGTATTTTAACTTATTCAAGTCTTTGGTGTGAAACTTGGTATGTAAGAATGACTTGAGAGAAAATATTTTTACACAATCATCTCCTGTAATGACAATATCATCAACTTAAACAATAAGAAATATAATACCAGTTTTTGATTGTTTATAGAAGATCGAGTGATCACACTTATTTTTTTCATCCCAAATTCCAAAATTATTTTACTAAATTTGCCAAATCAAGCACGAGAACTCTGCTTCAAACCATATAAAGATTTTTTCAAATGACAAACTTTTCGTACTCTCCCTAAGCAACAAATCCAGGTGGTTACTTCATATACACTTTTTCTAGGAGATCCTCATGAAGGAAGATATTCTTGATATTCAACTGGTGTAAGAACCAGTTTCGAGATGTCTCAATAGAGATGAATAAATAGACAGATGTAAGTTTGACCACTAGAGAGAAGCTATCAAAATAATCCACCCCACAAATCTGAATACAACTTTTTGCTGCAAGGGTGACTTTAAGTTTTGACACGGAGCCACTTGGATTTACTTT